CAATAGCCATTTGTTCTCTTTTAGATATGTCTCAAGATTCGTCAACAATAATACAAAACTTTGAATCACCAATTTTCCTCACGGATTTCTTTTTGCACTTTGTTTGCAAATACTTGTAGAATCTCTTTCTGAATTGCAGGAGATGTATATTTAGCATTTTTTGGGGCATTGTCCATCACAACATTACATAACATCTTTATTATATGATGCTAAGAGTTTTAACATCTCAAGAAAGTTACTTTGATTTTTCGACTTTGCACTTTCATCATGTCCTCTGAATGCACAATTTTGAAATGTAAGCCATCGCACTACTTCAATTGAAGTTTTTATTCTTAAACGATTATCTTCAATCAATTGTGGATTAGGCTTTTCAAATGCCTGATTAATGTGACCTTCGGTTTTCTTCAAATTTTCCCAACATATTGCTGAATATCCATGAGCTGAATTGGTATCTTTCCCCATATGAGATAACAAAGAACAATCTTTACCCCCAACCATTTTCCAATTTCTGAATCCTTGTACTGTAAAAACATTTGATCCGGATTTTCCTAATGGGTCCTTTGGAAAAAGGAAACATGGAAAACAATAAGCTGCATCCGTTGTAGGGGAATATTCTAGCCATGGAAATTTCTTAAATCAATTAGATTGGAATCGACGCGGGTGATCTGTCGGACCTGAAGAAGGGTATTGATCTAAGTGAAATTGATAAGGCCCGTAATGTATATATGCATTGACAATATCTTCCTGCTCCTTTGAAGGGTAACTATCAATTGACTTACGCAAAGTCGGATCACGCATCAAAACTGTATTTCCAATATTAAATGTAGGTAGAGCTGTAAATGCATTTGTTGATTGTTCATTATGGGTAAAATTCTCGGGATTTACATCAACATTCGTTTCAACAGTCACATTAGGGGATGGGTCTTCAATGTTCAATTCAAAAGGAGATTTTGCTTTCGAAAAATAAGAGTCAATTGTTTTTCTCTTCATATTTCAAGTTTTCAACCTAGAAAAAAATAATATTATTTTGATCAATTACACGCTAAATAATTCATAATATCGTTGAGTTATAATAGTAATTTATGACAAAACTATGCGATTATATTCGTCTAATTAAATTACATATATAAAGTAATACAATTTATAATCTAATTTAACTCACTTAATTTGGTTATATAACCCTAATACATATATATTAAAAAAATAATAAAATTACAACAAAGAATAAAAAAAGTCAGAAAAGACGAACCTGAAGGTACCGAAGTAGGCTACTGTTGAAGCTTGAAGGTACTCTGTAGTTGTTATTTTATTAGGTTGGTAAAAGGGTAAAAAAAAATATATATACTTTAGAAATTGTCAAAGAGACAAAGACTCAAAAGTAACCTAGCCCCTAAGCCTATATATATAGAAGTACTTTTTGTTTCCTATATTTTATAGGAAAAAGAATTCAAAGATTCTTTCCTAATTTTGTGTCAGCCGCCTGACATGTATGCATGGGCTATTTTTCTTTCTTTTATTTTATTTTATAACTTGGACTTCAACACTATTTTTTTTTTGGGCCAAGGGGGTGGCCATGGCCCACTCAGGCCTCCCTAATTCCGCCCCTGCTTCTTTCTGACTATGGGGTTTTGACGGGCGATGGGTTAATTTGATTATGGAGTGTGTTTCCTCGATGTCATACTCTTTTATTCTCAATGGAGGAGTGTATGGATCGGTTCTACCTTCTAGAGGGCTCCGTCAAGGAGACCCCTTGTCACCGTATCTTTTTATTCTGATTGCTGATGTTTTCTCTAGAATGTTACAGAATAAAGTACGGGATAACAAGCTCCATGGAGTGAAGGCGAGCAGGAATGGACCGGAGATCTCTCATCTCTTATTTGCTGATGATAGTCTTCTTTTTGCAAGGGCAAACCGACAGGAATGTGAAGAAATCGTTGATATTCTCAACCAATATGAAGTAGCATCCAGACAGAAAATTAATTATGATAAATCGGAAGTGTCCTTTAGCAAAGGGGTAAGTGACGAGCGCAGATTTGAGTTGTTGAGTCTTCTTAATATGAAACTGGTGGACAAACATGAGAAATATCTTGGCATTCCCACAATTGTTGATAGATCGAAAAGAGCGGTATTTGGAGCTCTTCTTGACAGAATCTGGAAGAAATTACAGGGGTGGAAGGAGAAAATTTTTATCAAGAGCAGGGAAGGAAGTTCTTCTTAAATCTGTGATTCAGGCAATACCCACATACCTGATGGGGGTGTATAAAATTCCAGAGTATGTCATTCAGAGTATTAAATCGGCCATGGCAAGATTTTGGTGGGGGTAGAGTGGGACTCGCAGAAAAGTACATTGGATGAGTTGGGATAAAATGTGTACTCCGAAATGTTTGGGTGGCTTGGGTTTTAAGGACCTAAGCCTCTTCAATGATGCTTTACTTGGGCGTCAGGCATGGAGATTGATTCGCAGACCTGAATCATTATTGGGGAAGTGATGCGTGTGAAATATTATCCTCACTCTACTTTTCTTGAGGCAAGGCTTGGCTACTCTAATAGCTATTCATGGAGGAGTGTGTGGAGCTCTAAAGCTCTAGTGAAGGAGGGATATATTTGGCGTGTGGGGGTTGGTTCAAATATAAATATATGGAGGGATCCATGGATTGCAGATGGAGAGGGTCATTTTGTGACCACTCCGCAAAGAGGTGAAGTGGAGAAATAATGTTATGGAGATCATTGACACTGATAGAATGGAATGGAGAGTGGACTTGATTGAGGATATATTTGAGGAGAGGGATGTGCGGTGCTCTTGTCTATTCCTCTAAGTTGGCGTAGGCAGAGTGATGAATTACTTGGGCGTTTTCCTTCGACGGGGAATACTCTGTGAAAACTTCGTATACGCTGGGAAAGGGTTGGTAATTTTGACGAGTTTCACAAAGCCTTTGTGGATATTTGGAAGATCAATGTGTTCCCAAAGGCTCGTCACTTTCTATGGAGAGTTTGTACTGAAACTCTCCCTGTTAGGAAGTTGCTGCTCAAGCGTCATATGGCTGATAATGCGTGCTGCCCTTGGTGCTAGGAGGATGATTGCCTGGGTCATGCGCTCTTTGATTGCATTAGAGTAAGAGAACTTTGGGGGGAGCTTGGTTGTATGGCAATGGTACGATGGGAAGACAAGGAGAGCATGTGCGATATGGTGGAATCATGGGGTAAGCTAGACTCGAAAATGGTGCAAAGGGGAGTGTTGCTAGAATGGTGTATTTGGCATGAAAGGAATTTGAAGATATTTGAGAATAAAATAACTCCTAATTTTGTGCTGCTGGAGAGAATAGCTCGGTGTGTGGAAGAATTTTAGAAGTTATACTTCTCAAATTCGCAAATCAGCAGGGGTGCATTTGGCCTCTAGCTCTAAGAGATGGATTGCTCCTCCTAAGGGGGTCCTCAAATTAATTGCCGATGCATCCTTGGAAGAGGAGGGGTGGGTTGGATGGGGGTTGTGGTGAGGGTCTGCACAGGCAGAGTAGTATTTGCGGGGACGAGGAGAATTAGAGCTAACTAGCCAGCTGAAGTTGCCGAGGCCAAAGCGCTCGATATGGCCCTCAAATTAGGAAGACAGCGTGGCTTGGAGAACATTATCTTGGAGTCAGATTGTCAACTCCTAATTCGAAGACTCTCAAGAGGTGCCTTATTTTACACAGATCTGGACTCAATCCTTGGGATATTTTGCATGCTTGCAAATCTTTTGTATCGATTAGTTGGGCTCATGTCAAGAGGGAGGGTAATAACGTTGCCCATCACCTTGCTAGGCTTATTCCGTTTGGTACTGAACAAGTGTGGGATAATCATTGTCCACATGAAGTTTCATCTTATGTAACTATGGATGCTTGTATCCTTAGATTGATTTTAATACGAGTACCGTTTTCCTAAAAAAAAAATAAAAAATAAATAAAGATTAGTACCCGTGCGTTGCACGGTGGTTTTAGTAATTTTTCTACGGAGTATATTTTTTTATCTTTTGTTGTTGATAACTTTCTAATATGATTTGGCTCGTTATTTTTTTAAAAAAATTTATTAAATAAATATTAAAAAAAAAACATGTACATAAAAATGGTTATTATTTAATATTGTATCATAATGTAATATTTACGATGTTATTAAAAATATATTAAAATGATGGTTAGATTAAATATATTAATGTTGTATAAATGTATAATTTATTAAGCTTATACGTTTAGAGTGGAAGCTAAATAAATGTGTGTTTACTATTAATTTTTTTTTAAAAAAATGTGTATTATTGATTTGGTTAAAAAAATGTATAATTAGCTACCAATATCTATGTCTATTTAATATTGTTGTATTATGAATATCCAAAAGTAGTGTGGAGTATATACAGCAATATTGATGTCAAATTCAAGTTTCACACCTAATTGGTCCTAGTTTCTAGCAAAAAAAAATAAAATAAAATGATGACATCATATGTAAAATTTGGAAGGAAAATTTTTTATGAGAGTTTGACACGTAAGTACTTTAAAAAAATTGATGACATCATCAATATTTTATTTTAGTAATAAGTTAATAGATACTACTTATATATTTTCTCTTTTTTTAAGTAAGAGTTGAGGGAGAAGTAAAAATTCGGGTACACTATACTATTTTCATAATTTGTCCGCCAGTGTTAACTTTTATACCAATGTGTCACAAGGGTGTTAATTTTTGGTCAATTGGCCAAATATAATACATTAAAACTATAATACAATAATAACATTAAAAGTATTGATCCGTATTCTGGGGTATCACAAACACTAATTATCGACTAAAAGAGTTGGTTTAGGTCATGTTAGCTTGGATAAATTAAAATTTCTCGCCAATTATTACTCTTGTCTTCAATAACAATAATAAGCTTATAGATTCGGTGGTGCCTGGGTAAATAGTTGTTAAAACGGTCTCAATGTGTACTTTTTAAGTTTTTTAAAGCATAAAAAAAAACCCAATAAATAGTTAAAACTAAGGGCATGTTCTGATGAGAGAAGGAAATTAAGATAAGAACTGAACTGAACTGAAATGATTGGAGCTGAACTGAACTAAACCAAACTAAACTGAACTTATTAGAGCTGAACTCAACTGAAAATAAGCCGAAGAGAACAGACCCTAAAAACTGTTAAAATGGTGTGTTAAATAATATGAATTCGTCCTAATAATTCGCTAATGTAATAGCCATGTTTTAAATCAACTACATACTACTCCGTACATTACTAGTAATGCAAATGCATCACAACTACAGATGGCAATGGATCGGATTTGGATCGGGTGGAGCTTCACCCGCATCCATCCATTATCCTAATTGCTCCATCCACATCCATCCGTCATCCGCTTCACCCATCATCCATATCCGTTCGTCCATCATCCGCGGATGAAACGGGTGGAGCGGATGATAAATGGATGAGTACTAAAATGAAAAAAAAAACTCAGATAAACTTTAATTTTTGGTTATTTATATAATAATTTTTTTAATTTATTAATAAAAAAGAAACAATAACAACATATTGTTTGAAAAATTAATTTGCAACAAAAAAAAGACAAGTAATTTTCTTGCACATTCTATATTTTATTAGTAAAAATCTTTGATTAAAAATTTAATATATGTTAAACGGATGGGTGGATGGTTAGCGGGTGAAAAAAAATATCATCCACATCCGATCCGATCCATCATCCGCTTCATCCGTCACCCGCTTCTCATCCATTTAATTCGGGTTTTCGTCCATTTATTTTAAGCAGATGGAGCGGATTAGCGGATATCCACCTAATATTGCCATCTCTAATCACAACTCACAAATACAACTACTGGCGAAGACGTTACGCTAGTGTTATTTTTGTTTCCTTAAAAACGGAATGAATGAAAATCACAAAATTACACTCACCTACATAATTGACAAGTGTCCTTTAATTTTGCACTATCAAACCATTCAAAGTAAACGGTGCTTACAAATCCTCAAATAATGGTGAAAATGTTACTGAAACTGCTTCTGACGGCTGTTCTTGTAATCTCGACCCACACCAAATGGGCGAACTCTGACTTGCAATCGCTGAGTCGGGAGCTCTTGGAAGCGGCGAGACAACCGGAATTGGTCCAATGGATGAACCGGATTCGGAGGACGATTCATCAGAACCCAGAATTTGGGATTCGAAGAGTATGAAACGAGTCGAATCATTCGCTCCGAGCTTGACTCGCTGGGAATTCAGTATGCATGGCCTGTTGCCAACACTGGGGTCATCGCTTCAATCGGGTCGGGTCAAAAGCCCGTTTTTGCTCTCAGGGCTGATATGGATGCTCTTGCTTTGCAGGTTTTCTTCCTTTCTTTCTATTTTTGGCCAATTTTATGGAATTAGCAACTTCATCAGAAAATACAACATAATCAGGGGTTGTTTTTCAAGTTTGCGGTAAAGCCGCTAATAATTGTTTATCAAGGTGATAAACTTGGCTCGCACTACTTATAAAAATATTATTGGCATATTGGTATAATTTTTCTTAAGGAGTACAAAAATGCTAAAAATTTAATAAGCACGTTGTATACATAAAAGCTACGGAAATTTCATCAAATGTCCATGAGTTAATTTTTTATTCACCAAATACCTATAAAAACTTTTAAATTCACTAAATAATCCTGAGTTTAAGAAAAATGTCACCAAATGCCCTTACCGTTAGTCATTAATGATTAATATGCCACGTGGCAGCCTCAAATTAGTTGTTGTAATATTTCTTAATTAACTATTAAAAAAAACTTTAAAAAAAAAAAAAAAAAAACTTTAAAAAAAAATTAAAAAAAACCCCACCCCACCACCAGCCACCACCCAGATCCCACCCCTGCGCCGGTGGTCCCTTTTCGCCGGCGAGGGCAGCCCCCCCACCCTCTGACACCCCCTCCCCTACCCCAGCCTCTTCTCCCTCCGTTTCCCCTCCCCTTAAACCCCGAAAACACCCCCCTTCCTTCGCTGTCAGCGCCCAAACCTCCTCCCCGGCGCCGGCGAACCACTTTCGCCCCACCCCCTTTCCCCCCTAAACCACCACCCTAAAAATCGAAAAACCCCCAAATCGAAACTCTAGATTTCGATTTGGGGTTTTTTCGATTAAAGGGTTTTTCGATTTTTTGGGTGGTGGTTTAGGGGGGGAAAAGGGGTGGGGATGGCGGCGCCGGGGAGGAGGTTTGGGCGCCGGTCGCGAAGGAAGGGGGGTGTTTTCGAGGTTGGGTAGGGGGTTTAAGGGGAGGGGAAACGGAGGGAGATGGGGCTGGGGGTAGGGGAGGGGGGTTCGGAGGGTGGGTGGGGCTGCCCTCGTCAGCGAAAAGGGACCACCGGCGCAGGGGGAGGGGTGGGATCTGCGGTCGGGCCGTTTGGGGTGGGGGTGGGGGTGGGTTTGGGTATTTTTAAATTTTTTTTTTTTAAAGTTTTTTTTAATAAGTAATCAACTAATATTACTACAACCATTTCGAGTCTGCCATGTGTTAACCGCCATTAGTCATTAAGGGCATTTGGTGACATTTTTTCAAACTCAGGAGTATTTAGTGAATTTGAAAGTTTTGATGGGTATTTGGTGAATAAAAAATAACTCATGGGTATTTGGTGAAATTTCTGTAAAAGCTAATTTGATATTTTTATTGCACACTAAAAGTTTAAAAATCTTTAAATGGACAAATAATAAAATCAAATGAGCTACATAGTAAAAACAAATGTCTCTAGTGCACCTGCTTAGCGGCCTCTTGTGTGTACTCGGGTATATATGTAAGATATTTTCTTAAAATGAAGTTAAAACTTTATTTTTAAACATTATGAACATTTGGTGTCTAGGTGAGGAAACCAAAAGGAATTTGAACTTAATTCATGACAAAATAGATATTATTAAGATTTAAAATACTGGGTGTGCTATGATCCTCAAAGCCAAAAAAAAAAAAAAACTTTTTTTTTTTTTTTTTTTTTTTTTTTGTGTGCGCGCACGCAATGTGTTGCACTAAACCTTCATTTATGATACCCTTGTAAGAAACTATTTACAAAATGATTAAAAAGTCATACTTGTAGCAATTTACAAATCAGCAAAATGTCTGTTATGGAGTTTCAGATATTAACTTAGTTTATTCTACTACACCTTAGAGAGAGAGATCAGTTGCATAGTGAACTATTTAAATTGCGACAGTTATGACTTTTAGGCTATGTTTGGATAACAAAAAATGGAAGAAAAGGAAGGGAAGGGAAGGGAAAGCGAGGGAGACAAACTTCCTTGTTTGGATAATATGTTGGGGAAGGGAAGGGAAGGGGAGGGGGATGGAGGGATCCATTTTCCCTCCTCCTTTAATAAAGACCATCCCTTCAAAATTGGAGAGATTTGGAGGGAAAATGGAGCTCATCATTTCCTCCACTTTCCCTTCCTTTCCCTCCCTTCCATTTCCCTCCCTTCCATTTCCCTTCTAATTTGTTATCCAAACATAGCATTAGATAGTGCTTTCATCTAGTAGACTTCATTTTGCCAAGGTTAAAACTACCAATTCACTTGCTGCCTAGTACAGAGAACTTTCCATATTCCCTCATTGAAAATGAGCAGGCTAAGAAAGAAGCAGAAAGATTCAGGAGTCATTGGCCCGAGCAACGAAAAGAAACAAGCAAGCCTGAATTCCCCTAATTCTTGTAAGGCAATCCTTAATACAAGTAGAGCCAGACAATAAATGATGACTAGCAATAAATATAAGCTTTTACGGGATCAACCTTTTTTAAAAATAGATTAAAAAAAAAAAAGAAATATATAATCCCAACTGTTAGCATGTAGGGGTTGCAGCCACTTTCTGTAGCACAATAGGTTGCAAAAAACTGTCATGCACCACCAATCCAAGTGCTGGAATATTGTGCATCCAGTCTTGAGGATTTTTTGGGGATAGGATTACATTTTTTTTAATGAATAAGTTCTAATTACTTAAAGACTTTTGATGTTTCTGAATTCAAAATTGGTATTTGAAATTTAACTTGGAATTTGAAGGAACTGGTTAATTGGGAGTTTAAAAGCAAAAAAGATGGGAAGATGCATGCTTGCGGTCATGATACTCATGTGGCAATGCTACTTGGGGCAGCCAAGTTACTCCAGGGCAGGAAAGATCAGCTAAAGGTCAATTGTGAAATTTTAACTAAATTTACACAATATTTATTAGCTGATTATGCTTCCGTAGGCTGATTTTTTTTCATTGCAAATACAAAAAAGGGCACAGTCAAGTTTGGTTTTTCAACCCGGTGAAGAAGGTTATGCTGGTGCACACCATATGATCAAAGAGGGTGCTGTAGATGATGTCGATGCCATAATCAGCCTACATGTCCTGCCAACAATGCCCACTGGTAGTATTGGTTCCAAGGCAGGCCCAGTTCTTGCTGGTACCGGGCTGTTTACAGCAACAATTAGAGGAGAAGGTGCACATGGAGCACAGCCCCATCTGAGTAGAGACCCCATCGTTGCAGCTTCATCAGCTATTGTAGCACTCCAGCATATCATTTCTAGAGAAACAGATCCTATTGAGTCAGGGGTAAGTCTCATTTTTACTTCTGTGCATGTTAACTTTCAGAATAAGCACAATGAGAGTCATTGCATGCTCATTTTCTCTGTCCTGGTCTATCAATCATTATTGCTACTCTATCCTTCTAAATATCGTTTCTAATGAGCTGAAGAAAGTGGGAAGTCCTCAATCAGACCTTTAAGATGTATAAGTCAAGCCTCAAGGTCATGGCCTCATGTTTTTTAGATCATATGGAATTTCTGCATCTACAGTAATATTAAATTACTGATTTTTCAACACTGAATAGGACTGTTTACCTGCAGAGGAGCTATATATTGATAGATTAGTAGCCCTAATTTGAGGATGTCTTGATCCAAAAAAAGCTATGACATAGTTTGATTATTACCATTACATGATAATAATTGAAACCTGCATAGTTCTTTACAGCTCACAATTAATCAATCAATCAATCAAAGCCTTAATCCCATAAGTGGGTCGGCTACATGAACCAAAAATGATTATTCCATATGGTCATCCATAAAAATCTTCCTCTTCCACCCCTTACGATCAAATGCCTCATTCCAACCAAGTCATTTTTTGTCTCTCTTTCCCTCGATTAACCCCTCCATGGTCTCACTCTTCCACTTTTCGTACCAGTGCACCATCGGGTCTCCGTTTAACCGCTCATAGGGAGACATATATAATATTGTGTCCCTAAACCAAAGGCCACATTTCTATTTAGACTGTCCGAAAATAATAAGTTACAACTCTCCAATATTAACTAGATTGAATATATTTCTATAAAAGTAGGGAGGTAATAGTCATAGAGATGCATATTAAATTCTTCTAATCTAGAAATTGCTTCTTGTTTCAGAAAATACATGCTGATTTTGCCTAATTTGTCTGCTTCATGGATCATACAGGTGGTGACTGTTGGGTACTTAAAAGGAGGCCAGGCAAGAAATGTGATCCCTGAGCAGGTAGAATTCGGAGGAACATTTAGAAGCTTGACTTCTGAAGGTCTCACCTACTTAAGAGACAGGATTAAGGAGGTAACGGTTTGTGCGTCCAGTACTCCAGTATGTCCTAATATTGTCAACAAGATAGAATTAGAAATAAAATTAATATAACATAATTGCAGATTGTGGAGATGCAATCTTCAGTGCATCAGTGCCATGGTGAGGTAGACTTCTTTGAAGACATGCCTATGCCGTGTCCTGTGATGATTAACGATCAGGCCCTCCATGACCATGGGACACAGGTTGTGGAGGCGCTGATTGGCAGGTCCAAGTTGGAAGTCTTTCACTTGACCATGGGATCAGAGGACTTCAGTTTCTTTTCTTCAAAAATGCCAGCTGCTATATTTGTTCTCGGAATAAAGAATGAGACCCTGAAATCGGATAAGCCATTGCACTCCCCATACTTCTTCGTTGACGAGGAAGCTTTCCAGTTGGGGCTGCTTTCCATGCTGCACTTGCTATTTCTTACTTAGAGAAGCTTGAAGGTTCTATCGAGAGTGTGTAAGAGCAAGCACGATGAGATCATGTAGACTGTAGTTGTGAAATGTCCTTGATGTGTGCATGTTGGCTCTCAGAGAATGTCCTTGCAAGTGTTTGATGTTGTACAGCAAATCTGATACTTGTATAGTTGTATGAATAACAAACAAATGTGAAATGTGTACTGATTAACTGCACAATTAACTCGGGTAATATAAATTAAATCTACTGCATATAGTTCAATAAAACTAAACCCAATCAAAGTATAATTGCTGTATCGCCCAGTCCTTTATCGGATCTATTCTCTTGTCGGCTCTCACTTCCTCTCAGCCGAGTTTGCTGACTGGGTTTACTGTTCTCATGTAGGATGTTATCAGACTGACTTACTTCTATTGGCGCCACTCTGTTGCTCGTTTTTTAGAGTTCCTCACCCTTAATATACTCGTGAGCTTTGCCGACACAGCCTCCAGGTTTGGGAAACTCTTCCTGAGGTAAATATCTTTTGAATCTAGTCATTCAATCCATTCATTAGTGCCATAAGGACTATTTCTTGCTGAACTTTCGAATAGTATTTTCTTCATTGTTAAATCTATTGACGTAGTCCCTTAGAGTCTTGGAGACTCATCTTTCCTTTGCACCACTGCCATCAATTCTCCTAAACGTTCACTGCATGCATAGCACTATTGCTTACATACTGGCACTGATAGATAATAGGTTTATATTATCTTGTTAATATTCTGTAAAGATATATCTTGTGTAATTAGGTTTCTCATAATTAGGTTTGTAAACAACTATATATATTGTTAAATGAGAATACTCCAACCAAGGAGAATTACACTATCTTACAGGCACTATTGTTTATATACTGGCCAGCAAACACCTGCACCAGTTTCTCAAAACTATCAATAGAACCATGTTCCAAATTTGAAAACCAGTCCGATCCGATGGTGCTTCAGAAGGGTTGTTGGGAAGGCCTTACACCAAACGACATCTGAATTGGTGTATAACATGTGCCCTTCGAATGATGCTACATATCTCTTCGGGCCGTCTTTTCCATCATATTTGCATGACGGCATTTTAATTTTTTCCATTGGTTACTCCAAAATTTCTTGGGTGAATGGTGATGCTTTAGGCTTAACAACGATTTGAGCCATACGCCTTATCATACCGACGATTGTTCCCTGCCTCGTGAACCCGAGTTTAAATAAAGGTCATAAGAGGCTATTTTTTTTTAGTTAAAGTTTTAATATACTAGTCAGTAAGAATAATAAAGGTATGTTAAATTTTGATACTATATCCAACCTAATGTCATATGACATGTATATGATTTAGGTATATAGTAATATATTAAAGACCGCATAAGTTTTGACAAAGGTAGCTAGTTTGATATCAATTACGCACATATGGATTTTCAGGGCTACAATAATATTATTGCATCACCAATTCACCATCACTATTGTCGGATTAAGCTGTATCCCTCATGAAAAAAAGGAACTATAATAACACCACATGTATATAATATCCAGTATCTTAGGTACTGTTATGTACTTCTTCTGTTTATTTTAGTTGACATGTTTTTTTAGTCACGTTTACCGATATACAAATTAAATTATTAATATCTTTAATTATGGATAAGCAAAAATTATTTTGAAAATATACATTGTGACGAATCTAATAAGATTCCACTTAACTATATTTTTTGTTACGTATAAATCACAAAAACATGACTGAAGGGAGGTGCATGAATAGTAAATAATCAAACGTGTTAACTAATAAAAAACAGAGGTAGTAGTTTGCAAACATAACAAATTAGCCCGCCTTTTTGTTAATTTTATATTAAATTCAAAGAGGCCGCCTATTTTAAAAGTTGCAGATTAGTACTTTTGTTCAAAGAGATCATTATACAAATAACAGGTCTCTTATACTCCACATCGACCACATGTATTTTTATACAACTTTTTAATAAAGTTATTTTGGATGCGCCACTTAGTGAGAGTGTAAGACTAGGGGTGAGCAAAGACCCAGGGTACCCGGTACCGGACCCGGAACCGGTTAGGATCCGCCGGGTCCGGACCCGGAACTGGTCCCACCGGTTCCGGGACCGGGTCCAAAATGTCGGACCCGGTTGTAACCGGTTCCGGGACCGGGTCCTAAAATTTCGGACCCGGTACCCACTGGGTACCCGGTTTAAACCAATTCCAGTTCCGGGTACCCGGTCCCGGATCCAGACAATCCGGGTACCCGGAACCGGTACTGATTTAGTTATAAAAATTTTTTTTGTTTTTTTAAAAAACCCAACAATTATGGCCCAATATTCCAGATTTTACCCTAAGTATATAAAGCAAAAAAAAAAAAAAACCCTATTCTATCCTCTCACTTTCTCACCCTACTCTGCTTCTCTGCTACAGTGGTACTCACCACTCTCACACTCTCGCTCTCCTCTTGACTGTCGAGTGTCGACCACCGTTCACCGTCGAGCGTTCACTTCTTAATTCCTCCAAAGGTAATTTTTAAACTTTGCATATCAAATTATCAATTGCGAATTTGCGATTATGTATTTATTCGGTTTAGATCTGAAAAACGAAAGCTAATTTTTAGGGTTTTAATCATGAATAGTGTTAATTATGAAAATTACTATTAAAGATGAGTTTGAATCATGATAAAATTACAAATTACAAGTACAAATTAGTTAAACATTCAGATTTGTTCCTTCCCTTGAATTCTCTAGTATTTTGGGTGAATATAAACTCGATTGTGTTGATTGTGCTTCTTCCCTTTCGTTTTAACTTATGTTTTTTTTTTATAAAAATCATATTATCGAAGAAGAATCGTGGGGTTTAATACTTTAATGGGTTTAATCGTTTATTCTCAGATTTCGCAAGTTTAATGGTTTTTATTCTGTTTATTTTGCTATTTTTTAGGCATTTTTATTGCGTAATCTATTGAATTACTGATCTTTCAGTTTCTAGGTTTTACTTTGATATGTTGTGATGTTGTCATTGTGTCAAGTGTCTTGATCTGTTTAGTCTCAAGGTTTAATGTATTGATGTTGTTCTGCTTCTTTGCATTGCTGTTGTGTTGGTGTCAAGTTTCATGAATTGATTTAGTTTATGGGTTTAAGCTATTTCTTGTTTTATTGAGCTGGTCTTTTCTGAAATTTGTAGTTGTGGAGAAAGATGTAGATGGTGATGCATGTGCAGGAACTACAGTTGGATTTCTATGTAGAATTCTGCTTGTTTAAAAGGTTTTTATAGAGGAGAAAGTGTTTCAACAACTAAAGGAACCTTCTTTTCATAAGATTAATTACCATTTTTTCTTTATTAAGTTCCAATTCCTTTTTGTATTCTTCATGAAGATGATGTACTAGGATCTGTGCATATTGTCTCTCCTTTCTTTCTTTGTGTTTATGTGAGTGAGACAATATCAGTTCTGACTGTTGTATGTATTTGTGTAATGCATATAATCACTCTCACTTTGTGTAATGTTTATGTCTTATTAAAGTTTAATTTGTTCCTATTTCAGAACTATGAGCAATACCGACAATTCGTCAGTCCCTATGGATGATGAAAGTGAGGTTGGAAACGAGAATGCAACAACCAAATCAACCAAGGTTGGTGACAAGAGGAAGTCTGAATACTGGAACCATTTTTGGGATTTTAGAGATCCAGTAACCAAAAAAATTGTTCAAGTCAAATGCAAATATTGTGAGAAAATGCTAACAGGTAATACTAATAATGGAACTTCTTCATTAAAGAAACACCTTGGTGCATGTTCAAAATACCCTCCAAATGTAGACAAAAAGCAAAAACTCATTTCTGTTTACAAGTCTCCTGAATCTGATGCTACTATAGTCTCTAATTGGAAATTTGATGAAACTGCTTGTAGACTTGGTTTGGCAAGAATGGTTATTGTTGATGAACAACCATTTTCTATTGTTGAGCGTGAAGGTTTTAGGTATTTTTGTAGTGTTGCTGTACCTCAATTTCATATACCTTCACGTTTTACAGTTGCAAGAGATGTGAAGAATATATTTGTTTGTGAAAGTGGAAAATTAAAGAAATTAATTGGGTGTTTGAAATCGAGAGTGTCACTAACAACTGATTGTTGGACCTCCATTCAAAATTTTAATTATCTTTGTTTGACTGCTCATTTTATTGATGATGATTGGAAGTTGCATAAAAGAATTTTAAATTTTCAATTAATGGATAGTCATAAAGGTAAGGAAATTGGAAAAGTTGTGGAGGCATGTATTCTTAAATGGGAGATTGAGGATCGATTGTTTTCTTTAACTGTTGATAATGCTAGTTCAAATGATGTGGCGGTTGGATATTTGAAAACACATTTTCATGATAAACTTGTTTTGGAGGGTTCATTTTTTCATATGAGATGTGCTTGTCATGTTCTAAATTTGATTGTGAAAGATGGTTTATCTAGTGTGAAGTCTTCGATTGCTCGAATTCGTGCTGCTGTTAGATATGTGAGGAGTTCACCTTCTAGAGCTAAATTGTTTGCACACTCTTCTATGTTGGTTAAAGTTTCTTGTAAAGGTTCAGTTTGTCTTGATGTGGCAACTAGATGGAATTCTACCTTTCTCATGCTTGAAACCGCATTGAAATTTGAAAAAGCTTTTAATAGGTTTGCGGAAGATGATCCTGATTTTAGTAGGGAACTCAAGGATGGAGTACCTACACAAGAAGATTGGGTAAATGCTAAAGTGTTGTCTTTGTGTTTGAAATTATTTTATGAGTCTACAAAGAAAATGTCGGGTAGTTTATATGTTACTACAAACTTGTATTTTCACGAGGTTTTGGAGGTGTTAAGTTGTTTGATAGAATGGGAAAACTCTACAAATATGGATATTCGTATTATGGGTAGACAAATGAGGGAAAAGTTTGATAAGTATTATGGGGATCTCGGTAAAACTAATATCATGATGTTAGTTGCGGTTGTTTTAGATCCTCGATATAAGCTTAGGTTTTTGAAGTATTCTTTTAAAAAACTTTATCCTAACGACTTTGCCAAAGTCGATGTTATTTGTGACAATTTGTATGACAATGTTCAGAAGTTATTTAACCATTATGATGCTATTATTGCTTCTTCCTCTTCCAAGAATAATCGTAATATTAATGTTGCCAATGTGGATAATGGTTCTGAAAACTTGAGCTCTTCAAATAGTGAGCAAATGAAAAAGTTTTATGATGATTTTGATGAGGAAGAAAGTGATTTTATTGTTGAAAAAAGTGAATTGGATTATTATCTTGAAGAAGCTCGGGAGAGAAGGGTTGAAGGGGAAATGTTTGATATTTTGGGTTGGTGGAAAGAAAAAAGTGACAAATACAAAGTATTGTCAACATTGGCTAAGGACATTTTGGCTATACCAATTTCTACGGTTTCTAGTGAATCCGCATTTAGTACATCGGGTCGCATACTTGATCAATTTCGTAGTAGTTTGGGGCCAAATATGGTGGAAGCTTTAGTTTGTACTCAAGATTGGTTAAGGGCGTCAAATGTATGCATTGATATTGAGCGCTTCCTTGAGGATGTTCAAAAATATGAAGAAGGTAATACACTAATACTTCTATTATTTTGTATATTTATCTATTTTATTTCTCTAAGTTTATTACTTATATTGTTTACTGTTTTTTTTAGAATTGGATGGTAGTGACACTGGCATCACACAAGTTAATGAATTTGTTGGAAATAATTGATGTGACAAAGGTTTGTATAATTGTATTCTTAATTATATTGTATGAAAAGATATCAAATGACAAATATTCTAAGGACATTTTGGCTTTTGTTTATAGGGAATTTGTGCTTCCTTGTTGGCTGCTGCCTCTTTGCTTTGTTGTCTGCTGTATGCTGTCTTTCTCCGTTGCTTAGATGGTTGCTGACTTGCTGCTGGTCTTGTTGCTGGCTGATGGTGTGCTCAGCTGCTGCCTGCTGATGGTGTGCTCAGCTGCTGCAGTGCTGCCTGTTGCTGCCCTTCCTTTTCTTCCCTTTTTTTTTCTGAACTTTTATTTAAGTAGTTGTTTTGGTTATGTTTGGATGTTTGGACTTTGCAGCATTGTTGAAGTTTGTTGTACTGATATTTTAGGTTGTTGAATTGGTACTTTTTGGCTTATTAGTTTGTAATATTTGTATTTTGAAATATTTGTATTTTGCTAGCCTCCAAAACTAATTTAGGGATATTATTATGTTAATATAACTAGCCTGCAAAATTCCATTATATATAATAATATATTATATAACAATTATAAAGAAAAAAACAGTATTTTACTACGTTGAATAATACCGGGTACCCGGTTTTGGAACCGGTTCCTACCGGGTCCGGGACCAGTTCCAAAAAATTTGGATCCGGTATTAACCGGTTCCGGGACCAGTTCCAATTCTTGGGACCCGGTTATAACCGGTTCCGGATCCGGGTATTACAAATATGACCGGGTACCCGGTCTTGCTCACCCCTATGTAAGACCATCACCATCCCATAATGCAACTAGCCAACTACTGCCGAAGACGTAACGCTATTTTATTTCCTTATAAACGGAATGAACGAAAATCACAAAAATACACCCACCTATTTAACTGTCCTTTTGCACTATCAAGTATCAAACGATTCAAAAAGCTGCTTACAAATCCTCAAATTGTGGTGAAAATGTTACTGAAACTGCTACTGACGGCTGTTCTTGTAATCTCAACCCACACCAAATGGGCGAACTCGGACATGGAATCGCTGAGTCGGGAGCTCTTGGAAGCGGCGAGACAACCGGAATTGTTCGAATGGATGAACCGGATTCGGAGGACGATTCATCAGAACCCAGAATTGGGGTTCGAAGAGTACGAGACGAGTCGACTCATTCGGTCCGAGCTTGACTCGCTGGGAATTCAGTATGCATGGCCTATAGCCAAGACTGGTATCATCGCTTCTATCGGGTCGGGTCAGAAACCCGTTTTTGCTCTCAGGGCTGACATGGATGCTCTTGCTATGCAGGTTTTTTTTTTTTTTTTTTTTTTTCAATTTGAGGCGTTTGGTTTGCAAAATGATACGATTTTGGAATCAATTCATTCTAAACCCATATGTAATATCTATATTCCGCAAACCAAACTCCAGCTAGTAACTGACAAATTAGGGAGAAGAGAATAGAATAGCTTTTGTATTGCTTGATTATTATTAATCAATAGGTTGAGTATTTATACAAAACCTAAGCTCATAAGATAGGAAATAATCTTCCTAAAAGATATATGTCTAATCATAAACCCTAAAGATATATTTTCAAAATAATATCTTAACATAAATATCCTAATTAAATATATTATTCTCTTAAATGATATCTACGTGAAATATATCACACATATATTTTCCGATATCTCTAACAATAACTTATCATGTCGTTAAAGTTTGTTATATATACCCTGATATACCATATACCTATAAATATTTCGTTTTTATTTTGATGATTGTTTTTTATTTAATAGCAAATCAAAAGAAAAAAGTACACCGAAGAGTATATAAGATGTCCTTGATAACACACAATCACATGTTTTTCAAGAAACCCGGACTCCCACGCCACTAATTAACATATAATTGCCACAATCCCTTTGTCTATATTCTAGTACAAAAATCTGCTATCCTCCTTTAGCTTTAGCTTAGCAGCCTTCGCCCCTAAATAATACTACTCGTACAGTCGTACTGTAGAAAACCTTATACGCGCCTGAATGGCTGGGTGTGTACATAGAAGCTAATTTGATATTTTTATTGCTCAACATAAAATCTTAAATGGAAAATTTAATTAAAATTTAATGAGCATAACAAATTGCATTCAGTGCTCTGTCTCTATATGTACTTGAGTGCAAACATAGTCCAACTTTTATTTTTACAAAGTTTGACATGATATGATGTTTCAGATATCTTACTACTTCAGTTTATTCTACTCCACCTTGTTAGAATTTTCGTCTATTACACCTAGGAAATCAGTTTCACTGTGAAATATTTTCCATAAGTCTTCTAGCAATTTAATTGTGTTTTTGTTTTGCTGCTATTGTTTACGACAGTTCCTTGTGATGATTATGCTTGTGTGCAGTGCTAGACGCTTTCGTTTCTCTTTTCTCGGACAAATAAGGTTTCATTTTGCCAATTCTGATTATGTACAAAGTATAACAGAAGAATACTTTTCTTACATTCATAAAAATGACTTTCCCTTGGAAGTTTTAGGCACAAACTGGTACCCAGCTTAGACTACGGGCCTATTCATCTCCAATCAGTTCAGTTTCATTCCTAATTTTCTTCTCTCATAAAAAATCATTTCAGCTCCAGTTAGTTCAATTCAGCTCAGTTTAGTAAATCAGAATAGACCCTACATCAAAGTACACCGGTAGTTGGTAGTATAGTGATAGTTACAAGTTACAACTACTAAAGAGACTTTTTATAAATTTGCTGATTCCTGGGGTGAAACTAACTGAATACTGTATATAACATCCCAAAAATTAGCCGATTGAGGCTTGGGCTTAGTTTAAAGTATTGCCTTAGCTTTTGGATAGTGCTTTCATCTGATAGGGGGATACAGCAGTTGTTTATTTCTATTTCATGGGCTAATGAGGCAATGACTTCTTAATCTTTCTGCACCTTTCCTAGCCTGCTCATTCTCATGAGAATATGGCGATTGAAATGTTCTTGTGTATAGATGGGCAATCCTTAACACATGCAGAGCCAGACACATATAAAAGCTATACGGAATCAAACTATTTTTTTATATCTAATCCCGACTGCAAGCATGTAGGGGCTGCAGCCACTTTCAGTAGCACAATAGCTTGCAAAAGAACTTTCATGCACCACCAATCCAAGTGCTGGAATTTTGTGCATCCCGTTTTGAGGTTTTTGGGGGTTGTAGTTCTAACTACTTAATAACTCTTTGTTTGTGATTTCTGAATTTGAAATTGACATTTGTATTTAACTTGGAATTTGAAGGAACTGGTTGATTGGGAGTTTAAAAGCAAAAATGATGGGAAGATGCACGCTTGTGGTCATGATACTCATGTGGCAATGCTACTCGGGGCAGCCAAGCTACTCCAAGGCAGGAAAGCTCAGCTAAAGGTCAGTTGTAAATTTTAGCTAAATTTTCACAATAGTAGCTGATTAGCTTCCACAGGCTGATTTTTTTCGTTACAAAAAAGGGCACAGTCAAGTTAGTTTTCCAACCCGGTGAAGAAGGTCATGCGGGTGCATACCATATGATCAAAGAAGGTGCTCTAGATGATGTTGATGCCATCATCAGCCTACATGTCCTGCCAACAATGCCCACAGGTAGTATTGGTTCCAAGGCAGGCCCAGTTCTTGCTGGTATTGGGCTGTTTAAGGCAACGATTACAGGAAAAGGTGGACATGGAGCACATCCCCATCTCAGTAAATACCCCATCGTTGCAGCTTCATCAACTATTATTGCCCTCCAGCATATCATTTCTAGAGAAACAAATCCTGTCGAGTCAGGGGTAAGTCTCATTTTTACTTCTGTGCATATTAACTTTCAGAATAAGCACAATGGGAGTCATTGCATGCTCATTTCCTCTGTCCTAATTTGTCAAATCATCATTGTTACTCTATCCTTCTAGAAATATTTTTTACTGAGCTGAAGAAAGGGTGAAATTTTTGGACCATGGAGGGTTAAACGAGGGAGAGGGAGACTGAAAATGTCTTGGTTGGTTGGAAGGAGTTAGGAAGGATATGAAGTTTTGGGATTTTCATGAGGATGAGGTATTGTATCGTAAGGGATGGAGGATGAGGATCTTTGTCGATGATTACACGAAATAATCAAATTTGGTTCATGTAGCCGACCCCACTTATGGGATTAAGGCTTTGATTGATTGATTGAAGAAAGAGTGAAGTCCTTGATTAGACCTTCAAAATGCATAACTCAGGGTTTGATTGTCTTGATAGATTAGTAGCCCTAATTTGAGGATGTCTTGATCCAGAAAACAGCTCTTTATGAAATAGTTTGATGATTACCATTACCTGACAATTAATTGCAACCTCAGGGAGACATATATAATACTGTGTCTTTAAACCAAAGGCCACATTTCTATTTTGATTGTCTGAAAATAATAATTAAAACTTTCCAATATTAACTAGAGGATAAATTTCAACAAAAGTTGGGAGGTAATAGTCATAGAGATTAGAGATGCATATTAAATTCCTTTAATCTGAACATTGTGGCATTTGCTTCTTGTTTCAGAAGATACGTGCTGATTTTGCCTAATTTGTTTGTTTCATGGATCATACAGGTGGTGACTGTTGGTTACTTTAAAGGAGGCCAAGCAGGAAATGTGATCCCTGAGAAGGTAGAATTTGGAGGAACATTTAGAAGCTTGACCTCTCAAGGTCTCACCTACTTGAGAGACAGGATCAAGGAGGTAACACTCGGTGCATCCAGTATTTCCTAATATTGACAACAAGATAGAATTAGAAATAAAATCAATAATACATAATTGCAGATTGTGGAGATGCAATCTTCTGTACATCAGTGCCATGGTGAGGTAGACTTCTTGGAAGACACTCCTATGCCTTGGCCTGTGATGGTTAACGATCAAGCACTCCATGACCACGGGACACAGGTTGTGGAGGCGCTGATTGGCAGGTCCAAGTTGGAAGTCTTTCACTTGACCATGGGATCAGAGGATTTCAGCTTCTTTTCCTCAAAAATGCCAGCTGCTATATTTGTTCTCGGAATAAAGAATGAGACCCTGAAATCGGATAAGCCAGTGCACTCGCCATACTTCTTTGTTGATGAGGAAGCTTTTCCTGTTGGGGCTGCTTTCCATGCTGCATTCGCGATTTCTTACTTGGAGAAGCATGGTGGTTCTAGTGAGTGTGTCTAAGAGTAAGCACAATGAGAGCCTGTAGACTGTGTAGTTGAGAAATGTCCTTGATCTGTGTTGTACAGCAAATTAAATCTGATTTTTGTATGATTAATGAACAAATGAGCGTGTAATGATTAATTTGCGGCACAATTAAATCCAATAATATAAAATTAATCTACTGCATATGTCCAACTTCATACTGACAGTTCAATAACACTAAACCAAACTACAAAAATTTACCAAAAAAATAACAGATTTTAATGTTTATTGGTGTGTATTACTCTTTCAATGTTATGTTCATTGGTGATTTGGTGTGTACTGCACTTTCCTACTTATTTCCTAAAGTTTTCAAATAAAATTAGCTTAATTTCGTGAAAATTTGTTTTGAAATAAAAATTAATGCGAAAACTAAGCTACTTAATCTAAATTCATAACTATAAAAGCTTTATGCATATAAGTTAAAAGTAATTTCAATTAAATGAAAGTCCAAAGAAAATAAGTTTGAATGAGTAAAAAGCACATGAAGAGGATATACTCTTATGACATTCCTAATGTGAATTAGTGATTCTAATTAAAAGAGAGAGTATACAGATTTTTTCTCCCTTAAGATTTCTTACTTGTATATAACTTAATTAAGGTTGCATTCTTAAAAAAAAAAGTTACATTCTATTCAATTGATTTTTTTTTCTGAACTTGTTAGACATTATTAGAACTTGGGGTTAGATATTATTAGAACATACATAGTATTTTAATTGTTAAAATAAACTTTGGTAACCTTTATCAGCTAACTCATTAAACGGCATTTGGGCAGCTTAGTAGATCGAGCATATAATTATCGAAGAGTTAACTCAATACAAGGGCTTTTTGGGCAGTACTTTAGCATATCGAGCATATAATCGAAGACACTTGTTCTCTCCTTTTTCGCTTTGGCAATTAGAGTATGTCTACCGAAAGACAAATCGCGCAACAAATTAAATAGCTAATGTGGGCTATTTAGTATCTAATAATATGGATATTGATGTTTGTATAACTAATGTCTATTCTTTCTTCTGATGCATTAGGAATTACCCTCAGGAAGAGAACTTCTTAATGTTTATTTTTCTTACCTTTAATAAAATAAAAATAAAAATTAAAATAAAAACATTAATTAAATAGCCATTTTAATAATTTAGTGTTTATTGCAAATGAGATTAGCCAAAATTGAACCAATTGGACTTGGGTTTTAGTACGACCCACTAATCCACCCACTATATCAATTGTGCCATGACCCAACTTAGCTCAATAGACAATAATAAGGTTTTTAAAAAAAATTAAAAATCGGAGAAAATAGAAAAAAAGAAGGGCAAATGTTGTGGGCGTATCCTCTTACACGGCGGCAGATGGCGGCGACAGCGGCGGGAGTTGGCATCGGAGTTACTATGATTGCAGTCGGAGCTTATCTCTCCTTCGCCAACATCGCCCCTCAACAAGCCCGCACTCAAGCTCGTAGCGAATTCGTCAGACAACGTCTTCGCAAATTCTTAGACGATTGATTATTAATTCTACACCATCTATCTTTTTATTCTATGCTTTTTTATTTTATTTAATCAAGGCAGTGTTATTGTATGATTAATCACTTTATGTTTTTCAATTTATCTAGCTGAGTTGTGTAATAACTTAATGGTGAGTTTCTTTCTGAATTTGGTAATGTTATGAGAAAATTATATTTATTTAGGCATTGTTGCTGATGATTTTGAGATTAACTTGAGTTCGGCTTGAATTAGGACCTGTTTTCTTCGGCTTATTTTCAGTTCAGCTTCAATCAGTTCAGTTTAGTAAATCAAAACATGCCCTTAGATCATGGATATATATTTGTACGATGCTCAATAGCAAAACGTTTGTAAGAAAATATGAACCTGGATTCCTCATGTTAGCAAGTCGCCTCAAGTGGCAAATTTCAATTGAACACAACAGTAAGCCGGAAATAGTAATCAAGCCCTTTAAACTTTCAGCTCAAAACTCATCATTTCAATCAGGAACTCTTAATCATTTTAGTCTCACTTTTAGGGAGAAAAATAATTCATCAAAACTTTATTTATAGAGAGATTATAGAGTAACAACTCCCACATGGCAAAATTCTTGAATGTCTAACTACTGCTGCTATCATGGCATTTCGGCTTCACTTTAGATGAGTGCCTTCGTTGATTGGCTGGGAAGAACCAGATGTATCGTAGCCTCATAGGGGCGTTGCCCCTACGTATTAACCAAGAAGTCACTTTTATCTTCCACAACCAACAAACAGAAATTTCAATTGCATTATTGCAGTTAAGGCATACTTAGAAGTGCACTAGTATGACAGGCTTCTGGTGTAGAAACCTGATTACATAAACGCTCATTGTTATAAGTTGTCTGTAACAGTTGAGCATTATAATTTTCTAACAAAATGGAATCTATCAGGCAAACTCTCTAAAGATGGTTACAAATATAGGATTTTAAACAAGCAGCAAGAAAGAAGACAACATCGATTGCTGCCATCTTAGATAATTTAACGCATAAAATGCTGAACACATACCAATCTGAACAGGGAAGGCCATCCTCTTTTATAATGTACATGGGTAAATCTGACAATTTTGGCAAATTTCAAACGCCCCCCTACACTAATCATGTCTTCCTCCGAAAACAGAGGAGATGTTCCAAGAAAAAATACTAAACATGCTTCCTACTTTACAAAAACCCACATTGTCACAAAGGGCTAAGATAAAAATGGTGAAAGTGTGGTAGCATTGGCAACCACGACAAATATATTAATTAAGGTTTACCACCACAGGCAACAAGACAGTTGCCCTAAAATTCAAATCTAAGAATTATCTTCTTGATCTCCTTGAGTTGTGCCCTTCAACTCTGCCTTCTTCAAGCCTTCCCCTAGTTCCACTTCCTTCCATCGTCATTGGTCTCTGCATTGCGACATTGCATGGCTCCCGAGAAGGCCATGGTGGACCTCGTAGGCTGGATGGACTTGCACATTCTCTTTCCAACCCCAGCCTAGAATTAGGCAAACCATGGTCCCGTAAACCTCTTCCTGATTTATGCTTCTGTATCTCATCACCACAACTTTTTCTAGGAGTTTGCTTATCAATTTCATGACTTGAGCCATTACCCCACTCAACAATGTTAGATACACTTCGAAAGTAAAGAAGTGCTTCTTCTAGCTACTTGATTAAATATTGATTTCCTTCCTTTGAGTTGCTCATCAACTGAGTGTCTTTTGGAAGTTTTAGGTATCATGGGTGAACTAGTCAACTTGTAGTTATTCTTGTAAGGATCGGCTACATTCAAATCTATGGAATGAAGATCACTTTCACCAGAGTTTTCACCATCGTCATCAGTTGTATTTTCGACTTCCCCCTCATCACTCTCCTTGGCTTCACTTCGACAAAAGGCCAAATCTACATCTCTTCTCTGATACACAGACCCACATCCATTTTCTTTACTATTGGTTCTAAGGAATGATTCAAGCTCAATTCTCAGCTTATCAACCGCTGCATTTTTTTCCTCATACTGAAGTTTAGCATCTGAGAGTTTCATTTGAGCTCTCTCCTCACGCAATGCCTCTGCTATTTGAAGCATTTCTCTTTCCTTTTGAATTTCTTCTTGCATTCTCAATGTTTCTCTTTTAATCTCTGCTACTTGAGCTTTATCTTTGCCGATATTCCCAGCTAGCTCATCACAGACCTGCTCAATAATTCCTCTAGCTCTCTTCTCACTCTGAAGTTCCTTCACTGCTTCAGCAATGACAACTTAGTCTCAGAAAGCTCTTTACCAAGCTTTTTATTCAGGCTCTCAAGTCGCCTCCTAAGTTTCCGTTCCACCTCAAGCTCTCCTGCTATGGATTCAACTGCAGCCTCAACTGTTTCCTGTTCTTTGTTCTTCCATGCTTCTTTTTCTTCAGCAAAGCGCTTCAGAAGGTAATTGATCTCTTTGCTATCAGACCGATCTTCCTGTATCATCTGATTGACCTGCAAGCGCGCCCTCTCAAGCTCAGCATGTAAGGCAGAGATAAGGGACATACTCGATGAAGGTTGATCTTCATGACCTCTCATGCGACTTGTGATTTTCAGCAGCTCCTTCGAAGTGGTCAAAGCATTACTTACATCCTTCAAACGGGGTCTTCCCCCCGCTGTTGATCCAGAAGGGGTCTGGCATCGAGATCTAGTCTCTATCTACATAGTAAGAGGGTAGACAAAAAAAGAAGACGAACTTCAGAAAACCTTCCACCTTTTATGACAAACCCTGCTTTGAAATATAAATAATAATTTATCGTGCTCCAATGTGGTGCATCACCATATATCGATACATGACATTTCAGTCTTATAAATGCAATATTTCACTGTCCGACAATCTTGGACTGGATATTTTTACACTAATATTGAGCAGCAATGAACTGCATCATGTACAATAAAACATTTAATCCTGATATCCACAGACTTCCACATGCTGTCAGTTATACATTCAGATAGCTTATCCAATACACATAACAGGCAGACAAGTTATGATTACAGGCAGACAATGTGTTATCTCAAACAGGCATCAGAGATGTGAATTCAAATGAACATCCACATTTGTGAAAATGAAAGGAAACCACATTATACCTCCATAAAGCTGGCGTTACTAACGGAATCAAAATGCTCAATCTTTAGCCTCCTAGTGATAGACGACTCTCTTCTCCGGTGATTACCACTTCCAGGCCGCTCCGTTCTCTATAAGACCAATACAAATGTGTCAGACACAAGCATCACTAAAACTTCTAAAATATCAACTCAAAATGGACTACATTATAGGAACAGCTTCAGGGAAACAATTTACATATATACATAGATTGACAAGAAACATGACTTCTGCCTGAAGAAGCAAACATTTTTATCAAAAACAAATAGCAAAAAACAATTTTAGCAAGCAGACAACATACTACCTAAGAACTCAACAATCAATTTCTTCTGATTATAAACAAAACCAAACTCCTGAACTCGAACTGAGCTTTGACCAAGCCAAACTCACATTAACAGCCAATCTGACTCAGTATCATTCATAAACAACAGGAAAATTTTGGATAATATTCAATCTATCAATTCAAGAAAAACCCAAACCAAGCTATTCATTGACATAATGCATAACACACAAACTTTGAATATGAATTTCCAAATCAA